GTGCACAGTTCAAATGGACCGCTTGTATAGGTCACTTAAAATCAGGCCGAAGAGCAATGCAGCAACTTTACATGGCACCATTAAAATTTACTTTCTGTGTTTCACTGAATTTTGTTTTTTCATCCTTTGGAATTGTATAGTACAACTCAATGTAGTAATCCAATTGAGGGTGCTAGTTTTAGCAACTCCATGTCCGATCTGTGAAAAACTCCATGCAAGATACTGCAATTGCTCTACTCAGAGCCAAAAGATGGAGTGCAATTTGTCCAAGTAAAAACACATCTAATATCGATTTCACATCATAGCCAATCTTCCCGGCCTGAAGCATAAAGAAAACATTTCTGTTTCACGATTCATTTATTCATCCAACAACAAGCATGTCCCGAAATTAATATCTCAAGAACACATCAAAAAAGTGTCTCTCGCGCTTTAGATTGAACAAAATAGCGCAATAGGGCGAGAGTGAAAAAATGTCCCATCTCCTGTTACTTGAGATAAAGAAATAGCTTCGTGGCAACCTGCACAACCAAAAAGACATTCAGCAATACCCATGGTTAAGAGTTAAACAGGTTAAGTAAATGTGAGTAAAATTTTACAATTAGATAAAAGTGAGCTTACGCATTTATCGACACATCGCCAGTAATCAAAATACTGTCCGGTACAATGCTTGTGCCCAGATTCATCACCTTGAATTCTCTTAACACATGTCTATTTATAAACCCACCATAAAAAAGTAAGTACTGTTGGAGGAAATGGGCAGATTACTTGTGAAAAACTCATAAATTTGGCTAGCTAATCCTGATAGCATTAAGTGAATTAACGATGGTGCATGGTCAAGCAGTAACTACAACAAAAAAAATTACAACATAATAGATAAACAAAGCAAGAAATGTTGCACGTTACAGTATTTACCAAATGTTATATCATTTAACACTTGAATGAATGCCCAACAATACTGATTCCTATGGCAATCATGGGATCTATAATTTTCAGCTGATAGTAGAACAACTTTGGTTTGCCACACAGTAGTATGATATGAGCATGGGTGTGGAGAACAGAACTTTTATGAACGGAAAAAAGTAAATAAGTAAAGTTACTTCACACCAAAGATGAAAATAAAAACCCATCCCTGGACATGGTTAATTTCCTTCCAGGAGTGTTACATTTTGAAATTTATGCTATTGACATGTTTTCTCTTGTTCCCCATTACATATAAAAATTACATCAGTTATCCACCCATGTAACTCATCCTAAAACTCCATGGTCCAAATCATAAAAAGGAAATGTAAGTTTCACCAACAAAATAACACAAGACGTAATGGCATTCAATTCTTCTAATATAAAACCAAAAAGCATCCCACAATTATTTTACTGGTTAAACTCCAGAATCTATTATAGCTTCTTAAAGCTTTTAGATTAGATTCCAGAATCATAACCCAAATGCAGTTCTGAGTCCCTATACTTCACAAGTCAAATTTACTCTGTCATCACACAGATCCAGGAAGTCAAGTCAACTTTTGCAATGAAAGGCAGATGCAAGGTTATTAGAATTTCAATTATCGATTGCATGAAACTCAAGTTTTCCCATACAGTTGACATATTAAAAAGTTATAAATCATATGACACGATGACAGAGATTATTAGCCAACTTTTGCTCACATGAGTGTATTCAAGGAGAACGGTGATCTCTAAATTCTAAATGCCCTCAGGACTCAAGCGTAAGGATTGAGAAAGATGACATGAGTACCTAAATGAATCAGTTTAGAGTTGAGCAATCTGAAAGATGGAATTAGAGTTGCACGTAGAATTAATAACACACAAATTATAATCTCAACACAAAACACAAACACAAACACAAAAAAGACACAAATTAAACTCCTACCTCGCAAATCTAGGAAGCTAAAACTAGACTACTTCCAAGGAAACCCACCCACAAAATACAGTATCCTAGAAAGGCATGAAATATTATGAAGTAAAGTAAGAAGTCAAGGAGGAAGAATAACAGGACCAAGCGGCTGGGGTGGGGTGAAGCTGCTTTAGACAACTGCTCTAGTGATATTTTGAATTACTCAAGAGATGGAAAAATATGGAGAAAAATAAAAAACATTGATCACCTGATATTCCTTAAGCGGTCGTGTACATGGTGCTTTGCAACGGTCTTCAAGTTCCTTTTTAGGGTCTACGGGCTCCTCGTCAGACCTAAATAACAAAACAAGTTCAAACAAAAATGAACAAAATAAATAACTCTACAGACAATCTTGAACTTTTCCTTAGAAAAAAGTATAAATCTATCCTCTTGAAAACTGGATAGGATAAAGAAAGATAACTAAAAATTTCTAATTTGGATTGTTGCCACTAATCCAAAAAATAAAGGTATCTCATAGAAAAAAGTAGCTGTCCTGAACACTGGCGATAGAAACCGTCACTAAATTTGCACAGCAAATTTCCAAAATTTCTCAAAACACTAAAATCAATCTACCCAGGAAACAAGGGAAGAGAACCCCAGGAGACCAAAATGAAATGCTCTGGGGAACTTGGTGTGTTTCACAAAAAGGGTAAGCCTTTGAAGAGAAACTAATATTTTAGTTTCTGAATCAAATAGTTACATTTCCCCAAATAAAACATATCTTTGTGTGTGTATATATATATATATAATTCGATTAATCCAGATAAATGTATCAAAAATATGAAAGGAAAATCATGAGTAAGCACTTATAATGCTATGAACGCATTCCCAGACAGTATCACACAACTGACTATCAGACTTCGGATCCAAATACAATCATATGCTCATAAAATTGCTGAAATACAGCTAACAAAAGAAGCACCAGTTACTTAAAAAAAAAAAACATTACATCTTAATTCATAATGTTAATTTCCTAAACTGACAGGAAAGAAGAACAATTACTACAAGAGAACAAGATCAAACTCACATCGTCAACAATGCCAATAACCACCAAAAGCAATCTGCAAAATTAAACCGAAACCCGTGAATATAAATGCGTAAAGTCAACCGAAAACAGAAAATGGACCTAAACAAGACACTAAATTCCGAGATCGAAGCTACAAAGTACAAAAATCAACCAAAGCAATCTACAAAATAAAACAGAAATCCCCTGAATATCAATGCATAAAATCAGATGAAAAAACAGAAAATGAACGAAAAAAAAAAGACACTAGATTCCAGATATCGAAGCTAGAAAGAGTCGATAGATTGGATAAAAGAAAGTGGGTTAAGAAAAATGGAAAGTTACCGGCGAAGCAGATCGGCGTACTGATGCGGTGGTGTGCGAAGAGGAAAGACGCAAATATGAAATTGGCAATGAGGGCGTAAAAGAGACAATTGGGCTTGCTAATGAATGTAAGCAAAGTAGTATTGGACGCAGGTACTTATTTCACTACAAGTGTTTGGGCCTTTTGGGCCTCAACTGGCTAATGAATGGGTGCAATTTGTTGACCAATTGATTGCATTTGAGATGTATTATTTCGATTCTCTGAAATAGGATCATCATTTGTGCTTGATAAAGTATTCAATAATATATAGATTTTATTTTTATTATATTTATTAATATCATGATTATTCTTTTATTATACAATTTGAATATAAAATTGCTTTTTATAAAGCACAGAAATAATAAAGCGTTCGTGCATCGCACGAGTACCGTACCATTTTAATGGGCCTCAACTGGCTAATGAATGGGTGCAATTTGTTGACCAATTGATTGCATTTGAGATGTATTATTTCGATTCTCTGAAGTAGGATCATCATTTGTGCTTGATGAAGTGTTCAATAATGTATAGATTTTAGTTTTATTATATTTATTAATATCATGATTATTCTTTTATTATATAATTTGAATATAAAATTATCTTTTATAAAGTACGGAAATAATAAAGCGTTCGTGCATCGCACGAGTACTGTACCATTTTAATGGAAACAAAAGGAACTATTTGACTAAAGGGAAAAAAAATAAAGATAATACCCAAGTGTAGGTTTTTATGCCGTCTGAAAAGATGCCAAGTGTGATATAAACAATTAAGCTTACCTTAAAAAATGTCAAGATTATCTCATTTAGTAGAAATAATTAAGTGATTATAAAAAGATCTAAATAAAAGAAGTCAAGAAATCCCATGTTAGGTAGTTGCTTCGTAGCTAGCCTGTTTTTTCTGCTCGCATAGTGGCCGAATATTATAACCCTCATTATTTCATTCAGCAACCAACAAAGAC